TATACTACAGTAAGTTTTTTCAAACAAATTATCTATAACCAACACTTTTCTATCATTATTTTGCACTCATTTAACCTCCCACATTCTTTATTATTCCTCGCTTGCTACTCTCGAATACCATTCTTTATTTTTCTGTCCTTTTTTTGTAATTCACTGCCACCATCATCTCCATTTTTCCCTGTCGCGAGCTCCTCTCATTCATAAGATTTCAAAACCAAGCGGACCCTTCGGTCTTACTGGTGATTTTTCTTCTCCACTATTGTGTGTCATTCAACCTATGCAGAAACGCACAGCAAATAGCTCCTCTAAAAAAAAATAAGTGATTTTACTTCAAAAAAAAAAAATGTGCTAGAAGCGCCTTAACTTTCCGTTAGTAGCGTTTCCATGCTCTTTGAAAAATACGCAAAGTTGAATTTGTGATTAACAAACTTGTCCAGCAGTACTAGTTGTTTCATCGATTTGCACACACTTCGACAGTTCTTGCTCCCGCTTGAAATCACTTGCCAAGCCGACGGCATGCGGTAAATTAAGCGACATTGAATGAATTGCTTGGGCTGTGATGTTATCCGAGCGTGTTAATGGTGTTACGGACGGCGTCAACTTCTGAGAAGCTTTTTTAGCAGTTTGTTGCGGCATGTGACTGACAGCTGATACGAATGCTGAAAGTTTAAAAGATTCAAAAATTTTGCAAAATGGTGACACTGTTTGGAACAGAAGAAAGTCAAGACCGCCAACAGAATGAAAATAATATGACGTAGCGTTGGCCAAAGCGATTGGGCAGATTAACAAGCTATCAGATTAAACTTGGATACTTGGGCTACAAGTATCCAAGTAAGGAATGCTGTCTGGAGCGCTGTACGAACAAAAAGTACTGGATCGATAAAACAGTACCGTATCAGCAGCTAACTTTTTTTTAAGGTTTCATTTTCTGAAAATTTTCAATTATACGGCGCTAATGATGTTAGGAGACTTTCGAAAGAAAAGACATAGGAGACTTTCGATAGCGTCAAAATAAAAACTTGTCCTCCACCCGCTTCATGCGGCTACGGATTTCACTGGTCGTTCGAGATAACCATTTCTTGGTGAAATTTACAAGCCTAAAGTTTTGCAATTTATCAACCTTTTGACAGAGCTGAAAATTTTTTCGCCCCGTGTTCACTCTTCGTGAAAGGAGGAGGGGTTCGGGAAGTAGCCGTAGTGATAGCAAGTGCTGAAGCAATTACATGCTGGCAAGGCTATCGACAACTTCCCCTTTCTCAAGTTGCTTACAGGTAAGCCGATAGCGGGTTTGACACCCTATCGTATACCAATATTAATTTACCGCCGAAGAAAGTAAACAAATCGTAAAGGAATTTTTTATCCCATTGGCATTTCCGAATAAAACTGACCACCATTCGCCAATTTACTGTTACTGCGGCGAATCAGTCCGTGTTTACCGTCCACTGTTTTTCTTGCACCCGAAGCAGCTTGTTGCTGGCGAAGAGCTCTGTTCGCTCGTGTCTGGATTTTCCACTTTGTTATTGCCTTTGTGACCGTTGCAAAGGTTCTGAAAACAAAGCTTGGAATCTCAGTGTATAGTAGAAAAAAGATAGTTGTTAAGAGCGCCATGCATATGCAAAAGGCGCGAATAAAGGAACTGAAGCTGGCCACAGAGAATAGAGTGAGGCGCGGAGGAATTTGAAATGTCCAGCTCCTGAGCACAGAACCGACACTTCTTGTAAATGACAACTTACAGGACTATGTCAGATCTCTGACATAATCCTCA